GACCACCACCAACCCCATGTCCACCTCCTGCAGGCGCCAGTGCATGTGGACCAAGTGGTTTGACGTGGACTTCCCATCCCCCGGCCCCCAAGGAGGAGACATGGAAACCTTCAGCAACATCATCAGACGTGGGGAGCAAATCTGCCGCCTGCCTGAATTCATCACCCACCTGGAGTGCCGAGCCGAGAACCACCGCGAGGTCAGCATCGAACAGCTGGGCCAGGTGGCGCTGTGCGACCCTGACGTGGGCCTGGTGTGCCGCAACAGCGACCAGAAGGGAAAATTCAGGATGTGCCTCAACTATGAGGTCCGCGTGTTGTGCTGTGAGCCCAGGGGAATCTGCCCATCCACCATCACTCCTTCCACAGGACACACCACCTCAAGTGTGAGCAACATGACGCTGACAGTGTCCACCACCCACGTGAGCGCATCCAGTACAACCTCTGTGCCGACAAGCAGTCCAGCTTCTGTGCCAGCCACCCGCTCAACCTCTGTGTCAACCAGCAGCCCAACATCAGTGCCAATAACCAAAACCTCTCTGGCAACCTCTAGCCCAACTTCTGTACCAATAATCAGCACGACCACTGTGCAAACCACCAGCCCAACCTCTGTGTCAATAATCAGCCCAACACCTCTGACAACAACAAGCACTTCTGTGCCAACCTCCAGCACAACTTCTGTACCAATAACCAGCACAAGTCCTATTCCAATCACCAACCCAACCTCTGTACCATCAACCAGTGCAAAACCTGTGCCAATAATCAGCACCTCTCTGCCAACCACCAGCACAACTTCTGTACCAATAACCAGCATGACCCCTGTGCAAACCACCAGCCCAAACTCTGTGTCAATAATCAGCCCAACACCTCTGCCAACAACCAGCACCTCTGTGCCAACCTCCAGCACAACTTCTGTACCAGTAACCAGCACAACTCCAGTGCCGATAATCAGCCCAACTTCTGTATCAACAACCAGCACAAACTCTATGAAAACAACCAGTCCAACCACCGTGTCAACAACTAGCTCAACTTCTGTGTCTACCTCCAGCACAACTTCTGGACCAATAACCAGCACAATCTCCATGCCAATAACAAGTCCGACCTCTGTCTCTACACCAGTGACGACCACCACCAACCCCATGTCCACCTCCTGCAGGCGCCAGTGCATGTGGACCAAGTGGTTTGACGTGGACTTCCCATCCCCCGGCCCCCAAGGAGGAGACATGGAAACCTTCAGCAACATCATCAGACGTGGGGAGCAAATCTGCCGCCTGCCTGAATTCATCACCCACCTGGAGTGCCGAGCCGAGAACCACCGCGAGGTCAGCATCGAACAGCTGGGCCAGGTGGCGCTGTGCGACCCTGACGTGGGCCTGGTGTGCCGCAACAGCGACCAGAAGGGAAAATTCAGGATGTGCCTCAACTATGAGGTCCGCGTGCTGTGCTGTGAGCCCAGTGGTAGCTGCCCTGTGACCTCCGTGACCCCTTATGCAAGTTCATCTACCAAGCCCTCGACCCCTCCCGTGTCTGCCTCGGTGGTTTCTACCATGGCTCCGTCCAGCTCCTTGGTGCCATCCATCCCTACATGCTACTGTAGTGTGTCTGGCGAGCTGTACCCTGCAGGTAGGTGAACCTGTGTGTGCTGTGTGCTGCCCCGCTCACTGGTTTTCCCTCACATAAAGTGTAAAGGAGAGGAGAGGCCCTTGTGTGGGCCAGAAGGGGATATGCCCACAGGGTGACCGGAAGGCAGCTCTGGCAACTCAGCCCATTTACATCTGGGTAGAAAGCCACCCAGCAGGGCAGCCGTAGAGTGGACCTCTAGCCTGTGGTGCTGCCCTGCTGTGCCCCTCCCCAGAGTGGCCCCATAATGCCACCTGTTCATTGTCTTGCAGGAGCCATCATTTACCAGCAGACCGACCTCCTTGGCCACTGCTATTACGCCGTGTGCAGCCTGGACTGCCATGTGGTTAGGCGGACGGACTCCACCTGTCCCACCAACAGGCCATCACCACCCCCAGCTACCTCTCTGCCCAGGTCCTCTACCTGGACCCCTGTTCCTGTCACTGAGCAGGGATGCCCAAATGCTGTCCCCCCGAGAACGGTAAACTTCCACTTCCCCCTTTCTTGGGGGGTCTCAAGGGCTAGGGCAGAGATCCCCCAGTGTCCTTACATTTAGGTTGAGGGCTGAAGTGGGCATGAAAGTTGGTGACTCTGGGCTGAGGCAGGCTGGCCATTGGAGGTGGCTGGTTTTGGTCTGCCAGGACTTGTGGAGGGGGCTGCTTGCTGGTTAGCCAGGAGCACAGGGCCTGAGGATGGGACTCTGCTGCTTGCAGTTGGGGTGTCTGGAGCTCTGACAGGGATGGACTGCCAGGGAGGGCCACGGAGTTGGAGCAGGGCCGGAAGGAGACTGGGCCACCTGCGCGTGGGGAACTGGGGGGAAATGGGCATTGATGGGAGGGGACAACCTTCCCACTGCTGCAGACCCTCCTGCCAGCCCTTTGCTTGGCGGGTTGGGGGCAGAAGGGGGCCGGGCGCAAATGCTGGCTCCAGTTGCATGCACTTGTGCTGGTGTCCCCGCGGGCTTCTCTCTAAGGAGGGACCACAGGCATCACAAGACCTGAGCACCTCTTCTTCCACAGAAAGGCGAGATCTGGCCCATGCCCAACTGCTCCCAGGCCACCTGCAAGGGCAACAACGTCATCACCCTGAAGCCACGCCCATGCCCCCAGGAGCAGATGCCCACCTGTGCCAATGGCTACCCTGCCGTGAGGATGTCTGAGCAGGACAGCTGCTGTCCACAGTACCAGTGCCAGTGTAAGCCAGTGGCTGGGCGGGCAGGGCACGGGGCTACAGGTGCTACGCGGGGACGCAGGTGGGTTGGACCCCAGGAAGAATTCCCAGCAATGAGGCAGGAGACCCGTGGGGTCCAGGCTGAGCCCACAGCCCCCGGGCCAGGCAGGGTGGGAGACGTGGGAGCCCGGCCCTGCCTCTGGGCCTCATCAAGCTCCTGCCCACAGGATCCCAGAAGGTGGGTCAGAGCCCCTGGGGCCTGTCCCCTCAGTGGCTTCTGGGGCGGGGCCGGGTGGGGAGGGCCCCTGCCGGCTGGGTCCAAGCTGCTGCTGGCCCGCAGGTGTGTGCAGCGGCTGGGGCGACCCCCACTACATCACCTTTGATGGCACCTACTATACGTTCCTGGACAACTGTACATACGTGCTGGTGCAGCAGATCGTGCCCGTGTACGGCCACTTCCGTGTGCTCATTGACAACTACTTCTGCAACTCCCTGGACGGGCTGTCCTGCCCACGGTCCATCATTGTGGAGTACCAGCAGGATCGCGTCGTGTTGACCCGCAGGCCAGTCCTTGGGGTGCTGACCAACCAGGTGGGGACGCCCCTGGGCAGTTGCGCCGTGCACCGGGGGTGGGGGCTGAGGAGCCGGGCAGCTGCTGACGGCCCACCTGGCTGTTTTCCCTGCGGCTGGGCGGCCGTGTCCAGATCATCTTCAACAATGAGGTGGTCCAGCCTGGCTTCCAGAAAAACGGCATCGTGGTGTCCCAGATCGGCATCAAGATGTATGTCACGGTGCCCAGAATCGGCTTGCAGGTCATGTTCACCGGCCTCATCTTCTCTGTGGAGGTGCCTTTCAGCAAGTTTGCTAACAACACAGAGGGACAATGTGGTGAGTCCCCGCCCTGGCATTAAACGCCAGTGAGTGTCCAGTGTGGGGAGGGTCACTGGGTACATCTGCTGGGGCCATGTTCTTGGCTGGGCGGTGAGGTTCCCATGTGGGACTGAGCCTGCATGTGTTTCTGCTTTCTGGCTGCACCAAGAACATGCCAGTCAACTGGGCACAGGGCCTGGGTCACATGCCCCACATCTGAAGCTCACACTTGGCTGCCCTCCACAGGACTGCCCCCAGGGTCAAGCTTACTGGGGACAAAGGGAAGCACAGAAAGGTTGGGGGCCTGAGCACAGGCTCCCCAGCCAGCCTGCTGAGTGCAGCCCGGAGACACTATGGCCCTGTCCCCAGCTTGGGGACACTGGCCCTCAGAAGGGTGGGGCGGCTCTGCCATCCCCAGCGGGCCTGACCCCACTTCCCCGCCAGGCACCTGCACCAATGACCGCAGGGATGAGTGCCGCCTGCCCGGGGGCACAGTGGTGGCCTCCTGCTCTGACATGTCTGGCCACTGGAAGGTGCCCAACCCTAACCAGACATCCTGCCTTGGGCCTCCGCCGACGCCCTCCACGGCCTGGCCCATGACCCCACCCACAAAGGCACCATGCCTGCCTTCACCCATCTGCCAGCTGATCTTCCACAAGTGAGATTCTGGGGGGCATGTGGGGGTGGGGAGGGTGGTCAGCGCTGCTTTGAGGGCTGGCAGGAAGGGTCTGTGGGGGCTCCCAAGGAGAGGGCCCTGGAGAGGAGAGCTGCCCATGGGGCCAGCCTTGGGGCAGGTCACAAGTAGTGGTCCGCTGCTCACGGGCGCCCGGCGTAGGGCTGGACCTGTCAGCACCCTGGCAGCACCGGGCTTCAGGGCTGAGGTGGAGGCCTGTGGAGAATTTGGGAAAGAAACAGCCATGCCTCTTGGGGTGGAGGGAGGGGAGCAATTCTCAGGCCCTGGGGGAGCCCGGTGTGGAGCCACCCCTGACCTGTGCCTGCCTGCACAGCCATGTCTTTGGGTCATGCTATGCCGTGGTCCCCCCGGAGCCGTACTTCCAAGGCTGTGTCTTTGACCAGTGCTACATGCCCGCTTCTGACATGACGTGCTCCAGCTTGGAGCTGTACGCATCGCTCTGCGCATCCCATGGCGTGTGCATTGACTGGAGAGGCTGGACCAACCACACGTGCCGTGAGTGCCTGCTTGGCCACGGGACCCGCGGCCCATGGGGCAGCGGTGTTGGCTGTGGCGGGCAGACACTCTGGGCTCACAGTCAGGGGTTGGGCTTCCTGGAGTGGGGAGGGCTAGGCCCGGGCAGAGTGCACAAGGTCCCTGGAGAGGAGGGAGTGGTATCGGGTGAGGGGCCAGGCTGGAAGACAAGGGTGGGGCACAGCCCCCCAGCAGGTACCTGGGGCCCCAGGAGCCCCTGCCAGCTGGGCCAGACAAGTGGGGCTGGGCCTGGGGGTCTTCTCCTGGCCAGAGCCCTCGGCCTCAGGTGCTGCATCTCCGCCACACAGCCTTTACCTGCCCTGCTGGTAAAGTGTACCAGCCCTGTGGCCCGGCCGACCCCTCCTACTGCTATGGGAGCAGCAATGCCAGCATCGGGTATGCACTGCCCTCCCTCCTGGGCCCACCCAGAGCCCCCAGGCTCCCCCAGGAAGTCACAGCCAGCAACCACCTTCCCCACAACCCTTGCAGGGCTCTCCAGGATGCCGGCCACATCACGGAAGGCTGCTTCTGTCCCCAGGGCATGACCCTTTTCAGCGCCAGCTCTGAAGTCTGTGTGCCCACAAACTGCTCCAGTACGTCCCCGTGAGCCGGGCATGGGGCTGGCAGGTTGTGTCTTTCCCCTGAACACCAGGACCAGTTGCCCCTTGGGGTCTGTGCTTCCCTGCCAGCCCCTGGGGTGTCTGCCATGGCCTGGGTCCTCTCTGGCCTGACCAGGGTCCTGTCCCAAAGGGCTGGGCCTGCGGCTGCCCAGTGATGACCGGTGACCATGCTCTCTCCCTGCAGGTTGTCTGGGGCCCCATGGGGAGCCTGTGGAGGTAAGTGTGGCACACTTGGGGACCTGGGGACTTCCTCTCAGCACCAAAGGCTCAGAGGGAGGGGCAGGGAGGCTCCCCCAGTAAGACTGGAGGCTTCTGTGTGGGGCTGCCTGCCAGGTGGTCCTGGGAGGGGCATGGGGTGAGCAAGCAGAGGCAGGGGTGGGGAGATCAGGCACCCACACAGCCCCATGGCCCTGGCCTCGGCTGCAGGCTCTCAGCTCCCCCTGCCAGCTGGGCCGCAGGCAAGTCGCTGATCTGACGGCCCAGGGGTCACATATCTCCACTCTTGCAGCCAGGCCACAAGGTCACCATCGACTGCCAGGAGTGCACCTGTGAGAACGGCACTCACATGCTGAGCTGCAGGTCACAGCCCTGCCCGCCGCCCCCCGCCTGCCGCACGCCTGGCTTCGTGCCTATGCCTGTGGCCCCACTGGCTGGCCAGTGCTGCCCCCAGTACAACTGCGGTGAGCCTGAGTCACCGCTCGCAAGGGCTCAGGGCCAGCCAGCTTCGCCCACAAGGTCCATGGGAGGTGGGGTTACCCGGAGACGGCCCACTCAGCCTTCACAAGGGGGCATCAGCCTCTGAGGGTCCTGAGGTGCTTACACCTCGCAGGCAAAACTGAGAAGGAGTGGGGTGTGTTGGGGGAGTGTGGGTGCTGGGGGCACAGGGCTCCTCCACCCAGGCTGACCAGAGCCCTCGCCCTTGGTGGGGGCTGTGCTCCACGGGTGGTTAGCACTCCTGGAGACACTGGGGTGGCACTGGGCCCAGGTGGGAGCAGCACGGGGTCAGACAAAGGCCCCTGAGCACCCCCTTCCCGCCCCAAACAGCCTGCAACACCAGCTCCTGCCCCGCCCCCACGGACTGTCCTAAGGGCTCCCACCGGGTCTTGGTCTATGAGGATGGCGCCTGCTGCCCGAGCCAAAACTGCAGTGAGTATCCTGCCCAGCCACCCAGCTGCCCGCCAGGCCTGGCCCCAACCCTTGTGGGTGCTTATGCTGTGGACCAGCCTTGCTCGGGGTAAAACCGGGAGCCAGCTTGACCTCCTCTGGCCTATTGCCCTGGGACCAGGCCTGCTGTGGTGATAAGAGTGGGCACCTGAGTGCTTGGGAAGCTGGGAGGGCCGAGAGCAGAGGGCAGAGGGCAGAGGGCAAGGGTGGGTCTGAGACCTGCTTGTCTCCTGAACAGGCCCGAATGGCTGCAACATCAATGGCACTTTGTACCAGGTAAGAACCGGCGGCGGAAGGTCAGGACCCCCTTGGTGCCCGGGAAACCCAGAATTCCCTGCCGCACCCGCTTCTCCCCGAGGCTGGGCCTCCCAGCAGTGCCAGGATCATTGTGAAGCATCCAAGGCCTGAGGTCACCTGATGGGCTCGCTGCCTTGGCACTAGCAGGGCGGGCGGACACAGATGCCCTGGCTGTCCTGAACGTGTGGAGGAAGCCCAGGCCTCGGTTCCACCCAGCAGATCCTCTAGGGCCAGGTGCCCCACGCATGCAGGCAGAGCCTTGGGGGCCCCCTCCAGGAGGCACTGTCGACCAGGGGACTATTCAGCCTAGCAGGTGCCAGGCCTGGAGGGGGACGTCCAGGGAGGCAGGGCCTCCGAGCTCACTAATGCTGGCGCCCTGACCCTCCCTAGCCTGGCGCTGTGGTCTCCTCCAATCTGTGTGAAACATGCACGTGTGAGGTGCCCGGTGGCCCTCAGTGGGGCATGTTCACAATCTACTGCAAGACTGAGATATGCAGCCCCCACTGTCCCCTGGTGAGTGCCCCCTGCTCCTCCGCACCCCACACTGCTCCCCAGTCAGTGCCCCCCACCCCGGGACAGCAATGGCTGGGGCTCCGGCCCACCGTCCCTCACTCACACAGGGCTTCGAGTACCGGGCACAGAGCGGGCAGTGCTGTGGCATGTGTGTGCAAGTGGCCTGTGTCAGCAATTCCAGCAACAGCCCCGCCCAACTCTTCTATGTGAGTAGTGGCTGCAGGGTGGCTGGGGGCACTAGGGACTTGGGGTGAGTCCTGGGTGGGGCAGGCCACAGCCTCTGGACAGGCTGGGGACAAAGCCAGCACACTCCCTCTCGGAGCGCCAGGGAGGCTGGGATCAGGGCCAGGCCCCACCCCTGCCTGTCTGGAGGGCCTGTGCAGAGCGTAGTGGCAGCTGGGGCACTGAGCAGGCAGGGTCCTGGCACACTGGGGTCCTTGGGAGTGTCACTGCAGGGTGTGTACCTGGCAGAGGCCCAGGGACTCTTTGGAGGCCCACAAGCTAAGGGGTGCCTGGGTAGGGGGCACAGCAACCTCCCCTGCTGTGGGGAGGGGTGCTCACCCTGCTGGCGGGGCCTCCTTGCAGCCTGGCGAGTCCTGGTCGGACCCGGGGAACCCCTGTGTGACTCACAAGTGCAAGAAGCACCAGGACGGGTTGGTGGTGGTGACCACGAAGAAGGTGTGCCCCCCACTCAGCTGCCCTGTGGTGAGTCTGGGACCCACCCGCCCAGGTCAGGGTAGAGAGCACAGTCAGTCAGCTCGCCCAGTGCCCACAGGGCCGCCGCCCTCTGCCCAGGGCACGGTCCACTCCCGCACCCGTTCCCCATGTCGGGCTGGGCTGCTCTCTCCCTGATGGCGGGCCTTTGTCCCACAGACCCAGGCTCGGCCGAGCATGGATGGCTGCTGCCCCTTGTGTCGCCGCCCTACATGTGAGTGGGCGTGTCCATGGGGGTGGCTGATCCCGCCCATGTGGGAGGCCTGGGGCACCGGGGCCTGACCCTCTGCTCTGCTCCGGGTCCCTCCCAGGTGAATCCTGCGCCAGGAGCTACCAGCACCAGGTTATCAGGAAATGGGGCTGCAGCTCCCCTGGGCCTGTGCGTCTCACCTATTGCAAGGGTCACTGCGGGGCCACCAGCTCCATGTACGTGAGTTCCTCCTTGGCTGCCACACACACAGGGCACTGTCCACAGACTAGCTGGCAGTGGGTGTAGTCGGGTGCGCCCAGGGCTGGGGAGCCAGGCGGACGAGGCCGGAACCACGAAGGGACAGTGATTACTACCCCAGGTGGCCTGAGGTGCAGACAGGGAGCAAGTGGCGGTCTTGAGGCTCGACCAGGGGCTGGGGCTGGCCTTTGGAGCGCAGAACGACTCCTTTGTCCAGTGAGCCCTGGACTGGGTGTCCTCCTTGGTGGCGTGTGGAGCTGCCTCCCACAGGTTGCTGAGAGTCCACTGTGTGTCCCTCCCCAGCCCTGTGGTCAGCCACGGGGCTATTCAGACCACTGTGGTTGGCGCATGACAGCGGCTGTCAAACACTGGCCAGGGCGCCTCCAAGGGCAGGTCGTGGCAACGCCATTCAGCGTCTAGCAGCCGTGGCTGGCACGCAGTGTCTGCGGGGTCTCAGTGGGCTGGGGCAGCTGCCAGGCAGCACTGGGTGCTGAGCAGGCCTGCCCACAGGTACTCCTGGGAAGCCAACAGGGTGAACCGCAAGTGTACGTGCTGCCAGGAGCTGAGGTCCTCGCTGAGGAACGTGACCCTGCTCTGTGCCGATGGCTCCAGCCGCATCTTCAGCTACCCTGAGGTGGAGGAGTGCGGCTGCGTGGGCCTGCGGTGTGGCTCCCACGGGTACCTGGACCACTCGCAGGCGCTGGAGCCCGAGCAGAGCCAGCAGGCAGAGCACGGGGACCAGAGAAGGGGGGCCCCGGGGCCCAGGCCACTGCCTTAGACAGACCCGAGGCCTCCCTCCTCAGCAAGCTCACCCCGATTCCCGCTGCCTCAGCTCCCAAGGCCAATGGAACCTGAGCCTTGGTCCACAGGACCCGAGTCTGGGATGCACCAGCCACCCGCCTCCTCCCCCTGCAGGGTCCAGCTGACCCTGGATGTGCAGCGGCCCTGACTGACCCACAGCTGCCTGTCAGGAATAGCCTGGGGCGGGCGGTGGCTCCTCTGGTGGGGGGCCTAGCCTGCTCTTCCCAGGACTTAAGCATCACAGAAGGGTCTTATCAAGGACTGTCACTCCGACTTGGCGACTGGCTGCTTGGCAGCCATTGGGAGGACAGCCTTATCCCTACCTCGGCCCTTGGCCTCAGGAAAAGGCCAACTGGTTTCACAAATACACTTGGAGCAACTCATGCCTTCTGTGTGATTCTTAAATGTGCGCATTAAACCTGGAGCAGGGCTGGGGACAGACGGGCCCCAGCGGGCTCACACGCTTGGCCTGGGCAGCTGCTGGGGGGCAGCCAGGGGCCTGCTGGTGGGGGAGCCCCTCATGGCCCCGGCCCGGGACACCATCACCCACCCAGCCGACCACCTCAGGCACAGAGGGAGCTTCTTGTGCAGGGCTCCGTCCCCTGCAGTGTCCTGACTTGCCAGGCACAGACAGCAAGCTAGAGCTCAGCCTGTGCATGTGCACACAGGCCAACAGGAAGCCAGTGTCCCTGTCCCCCTGAGACATGGCGGCCTCAGGGCCCAGCTCTGCAGTGGAACCAGGAGGGTGAGCTGGGCTGAGCTGGCAGGTGAGGCCTGGGAACACCCCTCTCCTGGTGTGGAGGGAGCCACTGCCTACCCAGGGCCAGTCCAGGGCAGAGAGGGGATCCCGCACAAGCCAGAGGGTGGGGGGGGGCATGGAGGGCCAGGTGCCAGCCAGCTGAGCTGGCTGTGGGCTGGGACGCGGTCTGGGCTGGAGCCTGACGGGGCAGGGGGCTGGCAGGCTGGACAGTACCAGACCCCGGAGGCATCCTGTGCTCAGAGTCCTGCCGGGCTCCCGCGGCTCCAAGCGCCCAGGGTCATTTTGGGCCAGAGGTCCCAGGATGTGGGGCCGGGGGCAGATGCTCACTATCAATGACAGCAAGACGAGGCCAGAGAAGGAGGCCTGCTGGAGGCCACAGGGTGGACACTGGAAGTTGGCTTTGTGTCTCCTTGTCTGGGTGGCGGTTTTCCCCGGAGTTAGGTGCCTCCACTGCCTCAGTTACAAGACCTGGGCCCAGCGGGGGGTTGGGGGGCTGAGGTGGGGCAGGGGCTGGAGGAGAGGCGGCGCAGGGCAGGGTGGGGGGAGTGGCTCCAGCAGCACCAACCTTCCACCTCTGGACCTCGGCCACAGTGCCTCGGTGTCAGCAGGTGGCAGTGTACCAGACCCAGTGCCTCTCGCTGGCAGTACTGGGTCCTCGGGGACTGGCCTCCCTCGAGGCCACACCCTGGGCACTGCAGGGCTCAGGCCACAGGCCCCGGGAAGGGCACCCCCCCTGCATGGTGTCACCCCTCCTACCCTCCTGAGGCACAGGGGCTCCGGGGCCCCTGGTCCTGTCCCCCAGCCACTGCCTGACCCAGCTATCTGCTTGGCCATTTGGGCAGTGGAACTGACCTCAGAGCTTGGCCCCTCCTGGCTCCCTTGGCCCTGGCCCAGGAGGCTGCCTGAGTGTGAGGGGCATGGATGTGGCGAAGGCGGGCAGGGCATGTGCGGCTGACCCTCAGAACACCCTCCCAGGGAGCAGGAAGTTCTCAGCCCTCCCGGGCCCGGCTGACCCTGCAGCCACGGGCTGCGCCCTAATCAGCGTCATTGCCCCTGGGGGGGATCAGGTGTCCAGCGAGCAGCCTCTTCCCCTTGGGTCACAGTGACTAATCTCTGTCCCCCAGGGAGCGTGCAGCCAGGCAGGGGGAGGTAACCGGAGAGCGGGTCCCTGCCCGCCCAGACTGCACCGCAGCCCCTGCCAGGTTATGCAAGTCGTGGCTTCTGGAAAGGGCTACAGTCTGGGTGTGCCCACCAGGGCACCACGGGGCTCTGCTCAGGGGGATGGCTTCTCCAGGCCACGGCTTGGGCCCCTGCCCATCCCAGACACCAGGGTGACATGCCACATGGGCCAGGTAGCCTGGGCAGCTCGAGCCCCTCCCTGGAGCCTGGCCTTTGTGGAGGAGCCCTTTGGGTGATGGGCGTGCCCCCACCTGACAGGGAAGGGACATCCTAACCTCATGTCGGGCTCCTGTCCAGAGAAAGAGGCACTGGGTGCCCCCAGAGCTGGGGAATGAGACAGACACAAGACCCGGAGGACCATGGCGGGCAGGCCAGCTGAAGCTGCCCCCGACCTCTGCCTCTAGCACCCCACCCCACCGGGGACCCTGGAACCTGGCAGACTCCCTCCCACCTGCTGCAGATGGCTGCCTGGTCTGAGGCCAGAGCTGGTTAGCAGGGTCCCCGCAGCCGGCCTGGTCCTGGGTACACGGGCTGCAGCTCTGACTCTGGCTGTAGACCTGGGCCCTGGGTGCAGGCAGGCTGACTTCTGAGAGACTGGTGGTCTGAGGCACCTGCCTGGCCCAGGCCAGCTAAGCTCTGGGAGCAGAGACCCAAGAAGGCTGATTTGGGGGACAGAGAGAGGATCTGTGGGCTTGGGTCAGGGACAGGGGGACCGGGGTAGGTGCTGGCCTCTCACCCTGGCACATCTCCTGCTGGATGCCAGACACATGACTGCTGCCCCTTGACACTGTGCTGGCGGTGGCCTGGCCCCTATGGGACACCCGGACACACTCTGTGGGCAAGAAGCTGCAGAAGCTGTAGCCCCCAGAGGGCCCTCTGGGACCAAGGGCTCCACGGGGCAGCCAGAGCCCAGGGCAGCCCAGGTGTTTTCAGAGGAAATTGGCTCCCTCACTGAAGAGTGTGTGTGGACATCAGAGGTCCTCAGATACCCAGGGCAGCTGTGACAAAGAAAAGCAAAGAGGGCGCCACCGTGTTGCTGGGGGTTTCCCGACACACCACCGGCAGGAGCTGAGCCGGGAGGTGCACCCCGTGGGGGCCTCGGGAACCGAAGGACATGCAGTGGGGGGTTGGGGGGAGAGGGAGCTGCCGGGGCCTGGCCACGTGCACCCTGTGGAAGCCCCAGGCTCCGGGGGCCACAGATGATGCCGAGGACGTGCTGGTGCTCAGGGGGGAAGCAGGAAGGGGACCAGTGGCGGGCAGGGTGGCAGAGGGGTGGGGTGAGGGCTGGACCCATGGCTGGAGTCTGAGGGAGGGAGGGAGCCCGGCACGTCGGGGCCTGGCACGGAGGGAGGTCAGAGCTGGGGGTTGGGGGTGTGCCCAAAGTGAGGGGGATGGAAAGACGGCCAGGCTGCTCCATGGGTCCTCGGGGTCGGCAAGCACAGGCCTTAGCTCTGAGTGGGGGGCTGGGGGTCCGGGCAGAGGCTGCGGGGCACTATGTCCATCAGCCTCTGCTACCTCAGGCTCACCAGGGCTGGAGGGTGATGACAGACAGAAGAAATGGACGAAGCTGGGGGCTGGCCTGGGGCAGTTGGCGGGGGCAAAGAGGGGTCAGAGGTAAAAGTGACAGGTGGGCCTGTAGGCGGGGCGTGGGGTGGGGTGAATGGACAGAAACAGTCCGTCGGGGAAGGATGGGGTGGCTGAAGGAGGGCGGGAGCTGCCAGTGGCCTGGTGGGTGGGTGGGTGGGACTCGGGGGGCCATGGGGATGGGCAAGTCAGGGCCATACCGGCTGTAGGCAGTCACCAAGGGCTCTAGTGACATAAATGGCGGGTTTCTGTTTACGAGGGTCTCCGGCCGTGTGACCATGGTGGCGAGAGGCCAGGGGAGGGTTTGCAAGTGTCTGACACAGATGCTCTCTGCTCATAAAATCAACCCAGGTCACATCCAGGGTTTTATTTCTTTAAATTTAGAATAAAAGTGAATTATCAGAGTTACCATCATAAAGCCCTTGTGTCCTGGTTCCCAGGGAAACTGTGTTTATGGCGGGTTCTCGATCTGACTGTGGGCCGATGGCGGGCCTGGTACCTGCCCAGAGTGGCAGGCCAGTACAGGAAGCCAAAGCCGGCCTCACACGACGCTGATGGGAGTGGGGGGCAGATGAGCTCAGGGGGGCTGTGCGGGCCAGGGGCCCTGCCTTGCCCAGTGCCCACCTGCCCTGGGCTCAGGGGGCTGCCTGGGTGTGGCTGGTCGAAGGGCCCCAGCAAGGGTCCTGGGTCAAGCCAGAGCTGACCCTGCAGGACCCCAAACCTCCACTCCTGGCAGACAGCTCTGGGGCCCCCCAGCGCAGCTCAGGGAGCTCTGTGTCCCCACCCCAGGGTCAACAAGTGCCCAGGCCAACTCAGGACCTTCTTGTCCTGTGAGTGCCAAGCCCCCACCCCCATGCAATGATGGAGCAGGTGGGACACTTCCAGGGCTCCGGCCACTTCAGGGCCCTTCTGAGCGTGGGATCTAGGCTACACATGATACAGAAAGGTGGCCCCAGCCCTTCCTGCTCCCACAAGGGGCAACAGCTCCGAACACTGCAGCTGTGTACACAGCCAGGCGGCCCCCACTGACTGGAGGCTGTCCCTGGGCACGAGCCATGGCCTCGGCCTCACATCCACTGACTCAGTTTCCTGAGTCCCAAGTTGAGCCCACAGGCAGGGGGCCTTCTGACCTATCTGCACATCTGGCGCCTTCCTGCAGCCTCCAGCCCCGCTGGACAGCTCCTGCCCAATCCAGTCTCAGCAGGAAGCTGGAACCAGGGGCTCCATGTCTGGGATGGGGTCTGAATTTCCCGGTGGCCCCACCCTGGACAAGTTCCTCTCAACCAGCAGCCATGCCCCGTCCTTAGCTGATTGCTCCTGAGCTCCCACAGTTCCACACGACGACGGGTGAGTGTTTTACGAAAACCGACAAGCAGCCATGTCCTGGAGAGCTGCCCTGGTGGGCCCACCCGCAGCAGGGTGGGGCATGCCCTGGTCCTGGAGCTGAGCCGTGAAGCCACCTACAGCTCCACTAGGACCCCACCTCTCCACAGACAGCTGTACCTGGGTGGTGTCCAAGTTTCCTTCCCTGGGCATTGGGGAAACTGAGTCCTGGGGGGAGTGGTTTGCAGCCCTATTTCTGGAGAAATGTGTGCAATCACTCAGGTGTCTGCACATTGGTGCACCCATCAGGCAGTCCCTGGCCCGATACCCGTATGTGGGCCTAGAGGAGGCACAGGAGCACCAGTACCCTGGTCATACGGTGGGCAGCTTAGCTTGGCAGAAGTCCGCTCCAGGGACTCAGCCAAGCTCCCCTGGGCCGAGGGATTGGCTCTGCCCCCCTCATACACACACAATCTGGCTTACTGTGCACGCACCTCAGGGCCTTTCCTGATGACTGGGGCCCTTCCTGTGAAC